AGAGGTATTTTAAACCGATTATCTGGGATAAACCTTCTTTTTTCCGCTTGTGTACGCTGTCTCTTTCTTGCAGTTAGCTACAGTATCAGTACAGCTTTGCACAAGAAGAGACCGAGATAATGCATAGGCCGGATATACATTCAAGTGCTATCGCAAATGTGGGTGGAAGTAGAATACGTGGCTTCTATCGAAGGCTCCTTCCTGCGAAGATCGTAAGCGTGCGAAAAAAGAATGGTATAATCTCATCACACATGGTCTTGGTGGGAACGCATTTAGGCGCTAATGAGTTGCACCTAGAGGAATCTAAGCGTGTGAGAGGAATTTGACAGTATTCGATCGGACCTGTGAACATCATTAGCGACTCCACAAGGGGCTCCCACTCAAATGTGCTACATTTAGGTGTGTGGACGCCAAAGAGCAACCCTCATTGCCATCGGTTCCAGCTTTACGACTGTGAGATGATTTAGGAGCGCATTCAGCCAGCTTCACTTTGTTAGACTAAGAGCTTGGTGAAGCTGTGGATTCGTTGACTGTAGTTAAAATGCAACAAGAAGGTAGGAGGGGGGTATTTATTTACAGTAAACGTCATTCCCTGCCATCGCACGACGAATTATATGGTGAAAGTCTCTATTCGGGAACTTAATCGCGTGAGAACTACAGGTAAATTGATTATCAAATGCAAGAGAGCAGAGGTCGCAAAACCTCGAAAAAAAGGAAGAAATTCAAGATCAAGGGGCCAACCGAAGGACGTGAAAGATGGGAGCCGTAGTAAGAGCATATTATCTACACGCTACTCCCTTTTAATTATCTTCAACGTTTTGATGAAAAAATTAGACGGTGAAAAACGGTAGCATAAAAATAACAACCCATGGTGGTTGACCGGCTATCACTAGTGGCTAATAGTCTGACCCCCTTCGACGTTGCCAGGTCAGTAGGTCGAACACGGGCTCACACATGACCTCAATCTCCATCGGGGCCGAGGCAAATGTTAGCGGATGAGACTAGTTATTGTTTACTGGAAAAATGTTCCTGAATCTGATTCCTGTCCTTGAATGAATCGGACTTCTAAATAGGAGAGCCGCATAACAGGTGCTAAGTTTCTTGCGTGGTTAAGTTCACTGGCTTGGCCATCAGCCATCTGCACAAGCAGTTTTATTATTAAAGGCTCTCAAATGACTTTTTTGCGGCGTTGAGGGGAGCAAATGGAAACCAAATAAATTCTTTTGAAAAATGTGAATTGCGGATTGTAGTAAGGCGGCAAATCTTACCACGAACACCCGGAGATCGAGTCCTGAATCTTACGCTACCAGGCCAACCAGGACGTCATTCGCGTTCGGTTAATTGGTACCAGACTTGTCTGGGAGGATAAAAACACTGACTTGAACATCGGCTGGCCCCCGCAAGTCATTGTATAGGCCACATCGCATTCAAATGCCACTACGAATGTACAAATGGAAGTAGAATGCGTGCCGCATCCCAAATTGGGATTGATCAACGGGACTACTTTTATAACTTAACAATTCCATGTAAAATGAACTACTAACAATGCTATCATCGCTCCTGGATTTTTCCCTTCCACAAATCCATTCGAAACAATTAACCAAAAAAGCTATTATAGTTCCTGGGTGTGTTTATTTATTTACTTATTTAGTTATTTGTTTATTTATTTAACTATTGTTGTACAACGTTCAATCGGCATCAGGCATGAGCTTCAAGTGTGTTCTCTTTGGGACCGTTCCTCCGGGCCCTGTTGATCCTTCGGTCGCTGCTGTTCACCTGACGGGTGTTAAGCGTCGTGTCGTACCGCAGATAATCCCTGGTAATCCGTCCGTAACTAAACATGGGACCAAAATTTTGGTCATGATTCACACTTCGACAAAATGCGGTCAGCTGTAGTCACACTGGTGCTAATTACGGCTATGACGGTAATTATTTATAGAGCTATAACTTCAGTATTTACATATAATTACTAACATTAACCACTTACTAACTTCTCAATTCTTAGAAATGAAATTACCTTTGCTCTTATTATTTCTTGTCACTGTTCTTGTTTGATTATTGTTACTTTCATAATC